TAACGTAACACGCCTGTTGGGGGGCACGTTTTTTTTTCTTGGGAAGTGAGCGAAAACATACCGGCGCTCGCTCAGTTCCCGAGCATCTCCCTGCACCGCTCTCTGCAGGGAGATGATTGGGAATTGGCGAGCGCCGGTATGTTTTCGCTCACTTCCCGATCAATAGAGCCCACGTGTGACAGTTTCAGTGTCCCACGTCGGCTCTAACTATAGGGGTGAGTGTAATTCACTCATCCCATAGTTCTCCTTTAATCTTAAATGCATGCTAAAACTAAGACAGTTTGGTTTTATCATGCATTTTTCTATTGATCGGGAAGTGAGCGAAAACATACCGCCACTCGTTCACTTCCCAATCATCTCCCTGCATGGAGCGGTGACTGTCAGTCACCGCTCTCCGTAAGGATTCCCCCTCCCCTCCCTTCTCTAATCCTCCAGCACTGACTGGAGGAATGGATGGTGGAGGGGGCGACACAGCTGGCTCTACCTCTATATACGCAGAGCCCGCTGTCAATCATCTAGTGGATCTCTACAGTATTGCGGTGTTTTCAGCATAGAGTGGGCAGTAGCCCACTCTATACTGAGTTTTGGGTTACAGGAGGACATTAGTATATGTCCTCCTGTGATCCTAAAGAGAACTATGCTAAAAAAGGTTACCCAATAGTTCTCTTTTAAAGTAAAACTGGCCAAACACATCTGTACAGTTTATGACTAGAAATTACACAATTATCAATAAGTAATTATTGATCAAAAAATTCACATAAATTATGTTAATGGGGGAGAATACCAGTCAGGTCAAGGTTCAGTGGCATCCAAATAGCCTCTTCGACATTAACCATAATATAAACCAAGCAGAATGCAAGCTGCACCACCTTACCCTGATTCATCTGCATATTAATTTCAGTAGGGAATTCACCAATTATTCAATTTTAAATCATGTTAGACTAGTGGTGGCAAGTCTTTACAATTATGCACTGTGAAAGGACAATCCACATCAGAGGAGAGGATCCTGGTGAGGTTGCATGTGCCATCTTGCTTAATACATTTTAAAAGTTAATATCAGCTTATCAGTGTTGTGCCCGAAGGAAAGGGGGATATGGTGGCACCCAGAGAAGTGGTATCATGGAATAAAGAGAGGGTAATAGAGGTCAATGCCAGTTTAATTGTTTGCTGTGGCACTTTCTGTACACAAAAAGCTTATACCATAAATGTTTGGCACAGGAAAGGATAGCATGGCTATATCATTGAGTGTTGTAACATGATATTACAACCCCAATTCCAGAACAGTTGGGGCGCTGTGTAAAATCTACATAAAAACAGAATGCAATGATTTGCAAACCTCATAAACCCATATTTTATTCACAACAGAAAATAGAAAACATATCAAATGTTTAAACTGAGAAAATTTACCATTTTAAGAAAAAAAAAAAGGTAATTTTGAAATTCATGGGGGCAACAAATCTTTAAAAAGTTGGGAGAGGGCCATGTTTACCACGGTGTAGCATCCCCTCTTATTTTAAAAACACTCTGTAAATGTCTGGGAACTGAGAGGACCAGTTGCTGGAGTTTTGGGAGTGGAATGTTGTCCCATTCTTGCCTGATATAGGATTCTAACTGCTCAACAGTCCTGGGTCGTCTTTGTCGAATTTTCCGTTTCAAGATTGCCAAATATTTTCAATTGGTAATAGATCTGGACCGCAGGCAGGCCAGTTGAGAATTCAGACTCTTCTACTATGAAGCCATGCTGTTGCCATAGATGCAGTGTGTGGTTTAGCGTTGTCCTGCTGAAATATACAAGGCCCTCCCTTAAAAAGACGTCATCTGGATGGGAGCCTATGCTGCTCTAAAACCTTGATATATCTTTCAGCATTGATGGTGCCTTTCCAGATGTGCAAGCTGCCCATTCTATACATACTATTTCACCCCATACCATCAGAGATGCAGGCTTTTAAACTGAGCGCTGATAACAAGTCAGAAGTTTCCTCTCCTCTTTAGTCCGGAGGACACGGCACTCATGGTTGCCAACAAGAATGTAAAATTTCTATTTGCCGGACCAAAAAACAGTTTTCCACTTTGCAACAGACAATTTTAAATGAGCTTTGGCCTAGAGAAGACGGGGGCATTTATGGATCATGTTCAAGTATGGCTTCTTCTTTACATGATGGAGCTTTAACTTGCATTTTTGGATGGCACAGCAAACTGTGTTCCCAGACAGTGATTTTTGGGAGTATTCCTGAGCCCATCCAGTGATATCCATCACAGAATCATGACTGTTTTTAACGCAGTGTTGTCTGAGGGCCCCAAAATCATGGGCATCCAATAATGTGTTTCGACCTTGTCCCTTGCGCACAGAGATTTCTCCAGATTCTCTTAATCTTTTGATGACATTATGTACTATAGATAGTGATATATTTAAAGTCTTTGCAATTTTACGTTGAGGAACATTATTCTGAAATTGTTTGATAATTTTTCGATGCAGCTTTTCATAGATTGGTGAACGTCTGCCCATCTTCACTTCTGAGACACTCTGACTCTCTAAGATGCTCTTTTTATACCCAATCATGTTACTGACCTGTTGCTAATAAACCTAATTAGGTCTTCCAGCTCTTCCTTGTTAGTACCACTTACTTTGTCAGGTTTTTGTTGCCCTGTCCTAACTTTTTTGAGACGCCATCAATTTCAAAATTACCTTATTTTTTTCTTAAAATTGTAAATGTTCTCAATTTAAACATTATATGTTTTCTATTGTAAATAAAATATAGGTTTATCATAGCAATCTGTTTTTATGTAGGTTTTACACAGCGTGCCAACTTTTCTGGAATTGGGCTCTACACCCAGCATAACAATATCATTCCAAATAAGAAGACTTGATAGTGGTGAGGTGCTGTATCTATTATGTTTGCTGGGGGCTCTACAATCATTACATTTGAAGTAAAAACAATACTCTTCATTTTCATACTTGATACTGGTGATAAGTGAAAGTGGCCTGTGTTGTATAAGGTGGTCATGTGGCTTACTAATGTAATCTTTTCCTTTGTCAACAGCTCTGATTTCCGTCAAATGAAAAGGTAAAATCTAAACCTATGCAGATTTTACAAGTCACATTTGTCAAAAAAGAAAGGGATACACCTGTCATATTTATACTTACTGTGGTTGTGATAACATGATGTGCGGCTTTTGTTTGAGTGCCAGTGTAACTTGTCCCCCTTGGATAGGTTCTGGAGAGACCTGTACTTTCCTTTGCATGGACTGTGGAGCAGCTTGTTGGGGAATCGGGCGTGAAGGTAGAGCTGGAGCACCTGCACCCTGATCTCCTGTTCCAGCAGAAGATGTGCCTTGGGTTGCTCTTTCTTCACAGATTTTACCATTGGTACCAGATTTGCACACACAAAGATGTGGGCGTAAGCACATTCCACCATTCTGACAAGGCGGGGAGCAGTTTGCTGTTGAAGACAACAAAAATATGAGATCAATACAACAGAAAAAGGGAAAAAATTATGAAGTTAAAATAAACCTGTAGTGAAGGCCAAAAAAACAGCCCTAATTCATCAACCTTCAATTTCAATTGGTCCACAATAATATAAAAAAATAATGATTATTTAAAAAGAGATTTGTCCCCAGACAAAAATACCTCTGATATCACTAAAGTTTTTTGTTTTTTTTTAACTCTTGAACCTCTGGAGAGGCAGAGCCAGCTGTCAATCAGGCAGTGGGTTGCATCCCAACAATATTGTCAGGGCCTTTCCTGGCTACAGCGCGGCTCTGCATTCAGTGAGATTTGGGTCACAGGAGGACATTAGTAAAGGTCCTCCTGTGACCCTAAAGAGAAATAGAGCCTAAAAAGGTTTGGCCATAGTTCTCTTTTAAACCACAAAAGTACTATGATCTTGCTTCCTTTTTTAGACAACACTGGCAATGTAAAGTAAAAAATGCATTGGGACTGGGAAATCACACCTTTTGTACACATTATTTTGAGATGCTTTAGTCATAGAAATTATTCTGTGGTGGCATTTTGCTAATGGAATAATAAGCATTAAGCTTGGCTAATGTAAACTAAAGTAAGGGAAGAAAAAAATCTAAAAAAAGCAACCTTCAAAGCAAAACATTAAATCTGTAGTAGTAACTCCCCATATAATGTTACTAGTGTTCACAATTCAATATTTATGATGTATTATTATTAGTGTATTACAGTGTCATAATGTAACAGATTGCCCCAAACGAGCTACATGATGCTCTGGGCTGGCGCACATTGAGAAAGCATTTGCACTGACATCAGTGATTGGTCATGTACTCACATCTGCAATTAATAAAGAAGGTAAGGACATTTCTAGGCATAGATCATAATGACTAATATACAATACGCTGTACATACCAACTTTAACATTGAGTTTCCGAAATATGCGACTCAGGAGTTAAATCTTATAAATGCATTCAAGTACCTTTAACTATTAACAAAAATGTATCTTATTTGAGCATCACTCAGCTGCAGATCCCGAAATCATCTCTGAATTTGTGCTGACCCTGTCCTTCCTTCTGGAGGGTGACTCCTTTGGTTCCCCATGGTCCTTGTATGTGTTATAAAGCAGCCACCACTCCAAGCTTGAGAGTGGGAGCTCCTGCTTTCCCAATGTAAGAAAAGTAGAGAGCAATTAATGAATAGATGCTAAATGTTTCGGGTTGTGCGGGACAGTCCTGGGATTTTGGACATTGTCCTGCAGTGTTGGTGCTCCGTGAACTGTCCCAAAGGACACTGGGCATGGGGGTAGGGTTGACAACAATGCTATGAGTTATTACTGAAGCCACTAACACCAATGATTGGGATTATTATTGCTGCCACTGACATTGATGCTGGTGGTTCTTATTGCTGCCACTTACTCCACAGCTGTGGGTTATTATTGTGGCCACTAATACCAATGCTGTGGGGTTATTATTGTAACCACTGTCATCTATTGTGGGGGTTGTTATCGTAACCACTAACATTTATTGTGGGGGTTATTATAGCGACCACTGACACAGATGCTGTGGGTTTTTATCGCTGCCACTGACACCAACGATGGCACTTATTTTACTTCTCTTTAGTATGCTGCAGGCCCTATGTTGTCTCAATAATAGCAAAGCAAAGGGGAAAAGATGCCATACGCCATGAAGTGACACTCACTTTATGGACCACGCTGATGTTTTGACCACTCTTTTTGGCACATGGTACATTTTTCTTCCCAATCCTTTCAGGGTCTCTGTCCTAATTATTTTCAACAAGGGATGGCCCGATGCCAATTTTTTAAGACCAAGTACTTTCCCTCAGGTACTTGCTGATACCAATTACCGATACTTTTTCTGAAAGGGACATGTAACATTTTTTCTAAAACAATACAGACTAATGATTTTAGGGCAGTTTCTCACCAGGGCTAAAAACAGAGCTCACCAGAGCTAAATACATGTCACCAGAACTGAATACATGTCCCTAGAGCAGAATACATGTCCCTAGAGCAGAATACATGTCCCCAGAGCAGAATACATGTCCCCAAAGCAGAATACATATCATCAAAGCAGAATACATCTCACTAGAGCAGAATACATGTCCCCAAAGCAGAATACATCTCACCAAAACAGAATACATCTCACCAGAGCAGGATACATGTCCCCAAAGAAGAATACATGTCCCCAAAGAAGAATACATGTCCCCAAAGTAGAATACATGTCACCAAAGCAGAATACATGTCCCCAATGCAGAATACATGTCTCCAAAGCAGAATACATGTCCCCAAAGCCGAATACATGTCTCCAAAGCAGAATGCATGCCCCCAGAGCAGAATACATGCCCCCAGAGCAGAATACATGTCTCCAGAACAGAATACATGTGCCCAAAGCAGAAAACATGTCCCCAAAGCAGGATAAAGAATTAATCTCACCAGGCTGTGTGACATGTAGATCACTGCAGGGCTCTGCGGGCAGTTCCTATGCTGTGGAGAGTGCCGGTGTCTGGGGCTGTACTATGCTGTGTGGGGGTGTCCATGGATGTGCCTGCATGGGGAAGGAGAAGGAGATATAGAACCGGACAAGCACTGCCATGGACAGCTGCCTGCAGGTCCCCAGCAGACTGCCGAGGTCTCCACAAGCAGCAGAACTCGGACAGCTACTGCAGTTTAAAAATTTAATGGACTGGTATCGGCCTTAAGAATCGGGGCATTGTCTGCCTGGTATAGGCCCCGATACTGATACTAGTATCGGTACATCCCTATTTTCAACTGTTGGCAAATATGTTAGCATCTAAACCTATACAGACAAAGCTTGCCATAAGATATAACCCTCATATAAAAACTGTAACCCCTACGGTGAAAAAAATCTACTGTTAATGGAGATCCCATCAATCAAACCAGTAAGTGCAGGTAAGAACACATAAGTGCACATGGAATAACTTTGTGTGTTCGGCATACCATTCTGAGTAGACTACAATAGCTGCTTTCCCATTATGATTAGGATAAAGTATGTAGTTAGGTAGCATGATGTAGTGAAAAGGATGTGTATAAACAAACCTTTTTAAAATTGTCAGGTCATGCTCTCCTATTAAGGTAAGTAGGTAAGAGCAAACCAGAGACATTTTAAAACAACATTGTGCTCTTCCATTACAATTAGGTCTTCTTTAAAACATTATATTAAAGGATTTTAAAAATTCCCACTTGAAACAATATCCTGTATTTTAATGTGTATGTGTTTAAATGTCAGAGATGGACCAAAGTAATTAAAAAAATCAAACAGCATTAAAGCATCTAATTTTCTCTCCTTTTTTTTCTTAGGAAAAATTGACATAGAGAGCGCAAAGATCAGCAAAATTCAACCATGTGCATGTTACTGACAGGTTCATCTCAGGACTCTTTTCAAGAGAATGCAAAAACAATTCTGGTTTTGCAATCCTGACACACATCTGTAAGCCAATAAGGAAGTTTGGTTTAAAAACACAATTATTAGCCCTCCACTAATGGCAGGTATCCTACTGCTGTACTCTGTCCCAGAATCACAGTATTCCACTATACCTGACAACAATTGAGCTGGCCTTATAAACACTTTTTGAATTCCTTTGAATTATTTTAAGAATCATATTGAGCTAAGAGGCACAGCCTTAGTAGAAAAATGTTACTTTGCGCTGGTGTGAAATGTTTTCTCCCTCTGGAATATGATATTAAAGCTTAACCCCAGCCAGCTAACTTTTGGAGAGGGAAAAATTTAAAATGTATGTCAGGTTTTGTTTCCCTGTAGTCAAGTAGAAGGATCCTTATAAACATAATGAGGGGAATCTATCAAAACTGGAGCAGACGGAATCAGGATCAGCTGTACATGGCAACCAATCAGCTTCTCTTTTTCTTTTCCAAAGCGTAACTGAACAAACTGAAGAGAGAAGCTGATTGGCTGCCATGCACAGCTGCTCCAGATTTTGTCTGCTCCAGTTTTGATAAATTCCCCTCAATGTATAACCCTTATAAACATAATCCTTATAACTTAGGGGTCTATTCACAAAGCTGTGGAAGGATCTGGCTGTAGCTTCGGCTGATCTTTCGGCTAGCTTCGGCCCCAGGACCCCTTCGGTTCAGGGATGCTGTACGGGCTATTCACTCGCCGAAGGGCTCAGTCGAGCCAAAGACATATGCTTCGGCTCGACTGAGCCCAGGGAAAATTCGAAAATGGCCGAACGGCCAGCCACAGCCTGCTTCTGACAGCTGGGTGGAGCCAACCGTCATCTCACGGCTGGCTCCGGCCACTTGCAGAGAGATCAGTGTCCCTGGTTACCAGGTAACCAGGGACGCTGTTCTATCGTTACACTGAGAACCCGTCGGAGCTGCTGTAAAATCACAGCGGCTCCGCTGGGTTCTGTGTGTAATGACAGAAGGCGTCCCTGGTAACCATGGACACCTTCTTTCATTACACTACGGCTGCTAAGGAAACTGTGAATCCAGTGGAGCTGCTGTAAAATCACAGCGGCCCGCCGGGTTCTCAGTGTAATGACAGATGGGCGACCCTGGTTACCTGGTGGCCCATCTGTCATTACGATGAGAGCTTAGGGGAGCCGGAAGTGATATGAAAGCCGACTCTGCTAAGCTCTCATCTTAATCTAATTAAGGATGGGCTCGGGCGTGTTCGCAGCTCCAAGTGCCGAGCCCGTCAGGAAGCTGACAGCGCGCAGCGCCAATCACAGATACTGAGACATTTTTCTGGTCTGCAGCTGCAGAGATCGGGAAATGTCTCAGTGCCTGTGATTGGCGCTGCGCGCTGTCAGCTTCCTGGCGGGCTCGGCACGTGGAGCTGCGAACACGCCCGAGCCCATCCTTAATCTTAATGACAGAACAGCGTCTGCTGGTTACGAGGTAACCAGCAGACGCTGTTCTGTCATTAGGATGAGAGCTTAGCAGAGTCGGCTTTCATATCCCCGCCGGCTCCGACAAGCTCTCAT